AAGAGAGAGAGAGAGAGAGAGAGAGAGAGAGAGAGAGAGAAGAGTAATCCTGTAACGAGAATTGGAATAATAGAGCGACTTGTTGAGAGTGTCGAGGCAACGTGGAACGAATAACGATATTCTTAATTCGTTCGAATCCTGTTAGCGCAATCCTGGTAACCAGATTTTAAGCGTCTCGAAAAAACCGAAACTAACTTTTTCTTGAGTCAAATTGGCAATCGGTGTCTTCCACTGCTGCGGCTTCTAATCCAATATACCTTTAAGTCCACGAGAAAAAATAAGTCAACGTTTAGACGAGAAATGGATTCGATGCTCGGTCTTCTTGGAACAACCTTCGTGATCTTCCGTTTTCTCGAAAATAAATCCTTCGAAATATTAAATTTTTACGTCTTCTTCCGCTTCCATTTCTCAATCCATTTATCAACGATCTTTCGACCGTATCGAAACGAATTTTCACAACAATCGCGACAATTCTACGTAGAGCATCTATCTATTTCGCAAACACGGCACAAACTAATTTCTAGGGTGGAAACTTTTGCGAGGGATCGTTCCAACCTCCTTCCTCCTAGAGAACAGTTGCCACCCAAAAGTTGCCACCGCGTACAAGGAGTTCGAAATTAAAGCATTATCCAATGGAGTCGAAGTTAACCGACTTCCTCTCACTTGGTGAATTTAAGAACAGTCTTAATTAGCATGGCAAATTACTCGGATAAAGGGAACCGCAAGGGAGAGACTTCTCCTTTCCTTTCGAAACGTAAGAAACGTAAGAAGAAAACGATAATAAAGATAAAGAAGCTCCGTTATTATACACCACTGTTTCTTAACCTTATCTCCTCTCCTCAATAATGTAAGTAAAAAAAAAAAAAAGAACTTCTGTATTTTAATTCGATAATCGCAATTGGAGAATCGCATTGAAAATCTCGAGACTAAAGGCGAGACTGCGACACACAGCTTCCTCGAGGACGGAGCCACCAAGTGTTAATCACTTTTTATACGCTTTATCAAAGAGCAGGAAGAAGAAGAAGAGCGGTCAGTTCATTTCGAGAAAATTTTTTTTTTTGGTCGAAAGGAGTGGAGCTCGTTCAAAGGGAGAGGTAACACGCTCTCCCTCCTCTCCCTTTCCTCGCTACGATCGGCCTCTTGAATGCCTCGCCTCGGGCACCTTCCACAAGTGCCACGTGTTGTTTGTCGTCGCTTCGCTCCTCTTGCTTTAAAAAGAAAAAAAAAAAAAAAAAAAAAAAGGAAAAAAAGAACGTATAATCACGCACCAGTGAGATCTGGGGGCGCCAATCGTTCGCGGAAATCAACCAGTTGCGCGTGTTTCCGCCCGTCACCTCCGCCGACCGCATCCGTATCCGCATTTTCCTTTCCATCGATCGATATACACAACATTCTATTCCTATATAAGTCTGCGCTCTCTCTCTCTCTCATTCGACGAGAGATATATCCGTCGATAAAGCCGATTCCCTTAATTACCAAGCTCGGATGAGCTCTCGTCTCGAGTGCGAGCGAGGGAGAGAGGAAGAGAGAAGAAGAGGGAAGGGGGACAAAAGCGGGACGAGTAAACAAGGGCAATGAGGGAAAATTCATTTATTCATTGGGTTCAGCTTTGCGCTCGCCGGTCAAACAGAAAGGCCTCTTTTCACGAGACTTGTCTCTCTCTCTCTCCCTCTCCTCTCTTTCTCGGAGAGGAGAGAGGAGGGAAAAAATGGCGCGCAATCTAGGCGGAAACGAATGAACGAACGAAGGTAGGCGGGGTAGTGCGAGGTTTAACCGCAACGGTAAACGTTTAAAATCGTGGCAAATATTTACCTTTGAGATATACAAGAATCCGGTCTTTCGATCATCTCTATCGCGGATATTCTATAACGGGATTAGGATCGTGATTTCGCACCGTCTGTTTAACCGTCTCGCCCATTTCCCTTTTCGAGTCGTATAAAAAATGGCGTGAAATGAGCAGAAAGAAAGAGAATGAAATTTTAGATTGGTGGTCGGAAATGGTTGGACGCTTTTTTTAACACGAGGCACGAGCAGCGTGTATACCGAAGATGAAAGATTCAACGAGATGAATGGAGAGAAGAGGCGAAAGCGACGCCAAGCTCCAATGGTGGAGCACTAGTGGTGGTACAATGTTGGTCGGATGTATCAGGTAGGCGAGTAAAATGACAGGATATATCTTTTGCGGAGAAGAAGCGATTTGTTTAAATAACTCTTATGAATAGCAAAAGATAAATTCGAGATAAAAACGAAAACAACAAATTTAACGTCGGACCAGTTTATCTTTAAACAACGTCGCGTTGCAAAATCGGTAAAAATAAAGAAGAGAGAAAAAGAAAGAGACAAAATCAATCGCAAATCATTAATTTACAATTAATCCACCGATATCAAAAACGAAAAATTTATCGAGCGATGAAGAGATAGAAAGCAACGCAAATCCAATGGTACTAAGTGATCGTGGCTAATATTAGTCAGACAGCCGCTGAAAAACATAATTTTCCAAATAATTTATTTACGATAAAAAAGACGAAAGATTTGACAAGTGACGAAGAACTAATGTAAAAGCAACACGATGATATCCAATAATCGTGACAAATATTAATTAGACAACCGTTAAAAAATATAATTTTCCAAATAATCTATTTACGATAAAAAAAAATGAAAGATTTGGCAAGAAATAGTGTAAAAGTAACGAGACTCCAATGATATCGAATAATCATAGCCAATATTAGTCGAACCAACAGGCGATGGATACTTCTGAACAACATCGCGACAACCACAAAAAAAAAAAAGTCTGAATTTAAGGAAGCAAAGAACGAAAGATTCGAGAGAGTAGTGCGAATCGAATGATACCAAGTGGTCATGGCCCATATAAATCAGACAGTCGTTGAGAAACAATTTTCCAAATAATTTATCTACGATAAAAAAAGACGAAAGATTCGGCAAGGATTAGTACAAAAGCAACGCGAGTCCAACGGTATCGAATATTATCGCGGCCAATATTAGTCGAACCAACAAACGATGAATATCTCTGAACGACATCGCGAGAACCGTGAAAAAAAAAATGTGAAGCATAAGAACGAAAGATTCGACAAGTGACGAGGGAGTAGCGCGAGTCGAATGGTAGCAAGTGGTCGTGGCCAGTGTTAGTCAGACCGGCAGGTACGAGTAAACGCTACCAACCGTACAGCTGATGTTCGTTCGATCAATACGGGGCGTTGCGGCACGAAACGCTATAGAGTACATCACGTGGCTTAGACCGTCCCATTCCGAGTCCACGACTCCTTTCCAACCTGCACTTCCACCCCTCCCCGCTTCTTCATCGCTTCTTTCCCATCTTTCTTCTCCTCTTCCTCTTCCGCTTCTATTCCACCAAAGGATATTTCTCTTCGTAACCCGATACCGCTACTTTTTTCCCTTCTTTCTTTTCCATCCACGGGACCCACCGACCAATTTTCTTCTCCTTTCTCCCCTCCCCACTCCTTTTCTCCACTCTTACGCTCGAAACCGCACGCGTGCGCGCTCTCAGCTACTTTACCTCCCGATTCTACCGATTAAATTAATAAACTTATTTTCCTGCGTGAACGCACACAGTCTGACCAGATATCGCTCGTCGTCTTCACCGTTCTCTTCCCCGCCCGCCTCGACACTCTCTCTTTCTCTCTCTCTCTCTTTCAAGCATCCTTATTCACTTGGACGTAGCTCGAATCCTTGACGAATTTTTTTTCTTTTTTTTCTTCCTTATGTAGAACGTGGATCAATATCGTGTTCGCAAGATCTACGAAAGGCGAAAGGATGCTCCTTCGTAAATTACAGGGACAATATCTAGCGCAACAGACACCGAGACGCCGAGGTTACTCCCACGCCTTTGCTCCTCGATCTGGGACAATCGCGTAACGTTACAAGCAAAGCGATTTCCAAACGGAATTTTCCTTCCATCACTTCTAATTACTACACGAACGACAAACATTGACGAGCAGTTGGAGAGTTCGAAGATGAGAGGAATCCTTTTTCGTTCGTCTTTTTTTTTTTTTTTTCTCCCTGAAATGACTGCGCGCAAATACGAGTTTTCTCGACGCTTCGCCGGGGCAAATGTATCCCCTAGGAGATTTATAAATACTTTATCTCTTTTCCAGTTTCCTTAGACGAATAAAATCTGAAAATTCGTCGTTAAATTTTATTATTTGGCATAATCGTTTGAACAGTCTCTCTCTCTTTCTCTCTTTCAGCGCCATTTTACAGCGAACGTATTTTCTCGATATCAGCTTGCTTCTATCCTATCTTTTTTTTTTTTTCTTTTTCCGTTAAAATGCTCCGCGATACTCGCCAATTTTCATTTTTTATTTTTTCAAAAAAATAATGCCACCTTATTATTAAATTTAAAATTTTCTCGTCGAAATACCTTTCATCACGTTCGACACGATTTTATCAGAGAATTGGCACGATCAAACACAATGCACAGGATGTTAAGGTTCTTTATCTAAAAGGTGGACATTATCCTATTCTACCAACCAGTGAATGGCTCTCGTATACGAGCTCTGTAGAAAGGGTATCTTTACGAGCTGCTATCTGCGAGGAGAATTCGAATTTGTGAAGCGACGGGGCTCGACGATACAATTTTATCGGTGGAAGACTTTCACCGAGGCGGGCACGGAATTCACAAGGAAGTCGATAACATCACGCAAAGGTGAAGGCGCTGAATTAACCAGCTAGGTTAAGGACGAGATTTTAGCATTGTTCGAAAGCGGGTCGCCGCAATTTCACCGTGAATTTTTCTACCGCGACAAATGTTCCCTCGTTTCGTCACGACATTTGTTTAACAGGCGCGCGACAAGATCGAGAGGGAAGCTTTCGAATTCAACCGTTCGCGGATCCGATATGGCGCGGATTGGAGTGGATTCAACCTCCAATTCCCTTTCCTTCGTTATTTACTCTCAATTTCTCTAATTCCAACGAATCAGTGCGAGTTTTTTTTTTTTTTTTTTAGAATGTATTTGCTTCGTAAGTTTTTTTTTAAAATACATTTGAGAGTGAAGAAACTCTCGAAAGTTCCTTCCTCTTGAGAGTATATTTTTTCTTTTTTCCTGAGATTTGCTTCTGGGAGGGAAAGCTCTCGATGGTTGCTCTATTTATCGAAAATATTTATCAAAAATGTTTAATGGAAAAATGATCGTTTGACGACAAAGCTGATGCAACATCCACTGTTAAATATATACCCAGCACTAGTTAAAATTAAGAGAAGGATAAAAATGTCAAGGAATGAAACACGCGTTAGAAGAGAGAGGGAGGAAGATCGGATCGAGTTCTACCATCGGATTGATTTTATCGGAACAAGAAAGAAATTTGATCGTAATTTGTTGTACAAGTTGCCGATTTATCGGGTGTAAACTTCAACAGTTTTCAACTTTTCGAAACAAGGAATGAGCCGATAAAAAAGAAATATAGCTCCTGAGAGATACGAACATTAAAAACTTTCTTTTACGTTTTCTCATTTCGTTTGTCGCCTACGATTTCCACCAATAAAGACACTTACTTATACAAATAATTATGCTATTTTAATATCTAATCGAAGGCTTAAAATTATACTCGAGCAGATTAACAAATTCTTTCGATAGATTGAAAATTGTACTCGAGATTCGAATAGATTCGGGAAAATTCTGTATCGATCTCTCGATGGTAATTCGATTGATCGAAAAATTTTGAATCGATCTTTAAAAATTGTGATTGGAACAGATCGAGAAAAATTCTGAATCGAGAGTCGAGTAGATCGAAAAATTCTGGATCGATCTCTCGAAAAATAAAATAATTCGTGAAAATTTCGTAATTCGAAATTCAGGAATCTTGATCCTCGAAATTGCGAATTTATATTTTCGATATTCCCGAAGATCTTGATGAAATAATGGACCCTGAAGGAGAGGGGAAAGGAATGCGTGGATCTATGGGAAAGCTGGAGAATCTAGAACGAAGTTCAAGAATATTTCGAGTCACGCTTCTTGCGGAATGTCTCGCGCGCCCCGATTTTTCCTTCGCGATGGAATCTTTTCTCCATTTCTTCTTCTTCTTTCCTTTCTTTTTTTTCTCTCCCTCTTCTTTCCTTCGTTACGAATAACATTTGCCAATCACATTTATACCCTGGGCGAATTGAAATACAAAATGGGACGAAAAAATTGCGAATGATTTCCTTGATACGTTTCGTTTCCTCCGTATATACTTTTAGCTAGAAATTTTCACGCTTCGAGAAATAAGATTTCAAGATTCCCTCTTAGACGCGTACGTGTAAATTTTCTTCTCTTAGACGCGAGATGAACTTTACTTTTTTCCTTTCCCTTCCTCTATTTTCAATTTTAAATCGCTTTAATAATAAAACGAGAAAAATCTGAAGCAACAAAATATTCCTTGTATTCAACACTTTCGATAATTAAAAATCGAAAAGAATTTCCGGATAGCACGAAGAGGAATATTGCGAGATCAATCTTCGAAAACAATCGTGCACGGTAAAGCAAGTTCCAAACTACTCTTTGCCGAGAATAAAATAAAACGAAGAGATTGACCCTCGAGAATTACTCTCAATCGCGTTAAATCGCGTTAAAAATCACTTACAATGCAGTAAAAAAAAAAAAAATATTCTCGTCGAACGTGTACGGAAACTTTTCCAAGGAGAAAATCCACGATCATCATCCGCCCATCGAAAAATCACTCGCGTTAGACTACGCGCTTCCGATAGTACGAAACGCGAATGGCAGAAAGGGGACGATTCGAGGATGTATAGGCAATAATCGTAGATAATTATGATGGTGGAAAATTGAAAAAAAAAAAAAAAAAGGTAAAAAGCTTACCTTAACGTGAGATATGTGGCTGGTCGCAATGGACGAGGCAGACTGTTGCTATTCGTTGTGTAGGTTTTTACTTCAACTTTCACGGACTCTCATCTTCTTGCTTACCACTTCTCGTCCGCTTCCCCGGGCAAAGGATCCCCTCAGTGGCTCGCGTATCGTTTTGAGCGTCGACCACTCGCAACTGTCATCTAGAAAAATGGAAAAAATGTCCGAGGTAAGAGGTTTTTTCCTCGTTACAACTTTACAACACGATCATCGTTCACACTGGATTAATCGTCCCTGCGATATCGCGCCTTTGATATATATAATAATAACAAAATAACCGCGAGTAATGGAAATTCGCTGCCAGTTTTCCACTCGAATTCTAGGGAGTTTTCGCGTCGTCGTTGGTGAGATGTAAAAAAAAAAAAAGAGAAAGAAAAAAAATGGAAAAATTTCTAAGGATATACGCTTGTTGTAACATTAAAAAGGGCGACGTCAGATAAGATTAATCGTTCGCGCGATATCAGAGAGTGGAAAAAGAAAGAAAAAAAAAAAAAAAGAAAGAAAAAGAATAGCAATGGAACGTACGAAAATGGATTAATTTTTCATTCCAATTCTAGAAATTTTTCATGGCGATCCTACGAAAATATGGAAATTGAGAATTTTCCTAGCGAATTCTGGTAATTTTTCATGGCAACAAGCTGGTAGCTACCAGAGACATGGAGATTGAAAAATCTCGAATTCTAGTAATTTTTCTCGTCAACGGAGATAAATGCAAAATTGAAATTTTTCGATTGAAATTCCAAAGATTTTTTTTATACGAAATTTATATGGGATATGGAGGATTTCCGATTCTCGAATTCTGGTGATTTTTCATAGAGAATAGGGAGAAGTTGGTACGATTTGGGAGCATCGCGACGCCAAGTCGCGCCAGCTTTCTCGCAATTGACGGTGACCAGCCATCGGGGTGTTGCCAGCAACGTTAGTAACAACCAACGTTCAGCCTTGGCCCCGTGGCCCGATTCGTGCACACTGTGCGCTAACCCATCCTAGTTAACCGTTCGTTATGTCTTACCAACGTCAAACGATTATCTAATAACTTGAACCTTTCTTTCGTTTCTTCAATCGTTCCCGCTCATTTTACACTTCGAAAAATAAAAAAAAAAAAAAGGAAATAAATAGCTTTTCTGTCATTTACACAAAAGTTGAAACAATTTGAAGCGTTGCAAGTTTTCCAGCTTGCCGAGTTCCATTTCTGAAAAGCGGGACAAACAATTTTTCAAAATCTCTATTGTCGAAAACAATCGAAACATTCGCGATAAAAGTCAAATTATTCTACGTAATCATCGAAACAATGTTATTCAAATTTCGTCGTAAAATTTATAGAAAATGTTAAAATCGAAATATTAAAATCGATACCAGAAAATAATGGAAATTATTCATGAACGTATTATTCAGCACTGTATATCTTTGGCATTTCGATGGAATTTGAAGAATGATGGACAAAAATCTTTTATTCGTCATGTCGAGAAGTAATAATTTATTATTTTTCGCCTACATAACGATGGCAACGGCGACAGCATCGATGTAACGTCCAACTCGATACAGATGTGTGTCACAAACACACGTGAATATAAACGATGAACAACAGAATCACAAAATATAAACGTATACCGCACTGAAGTCGACCTAACCTATCGCGTGTACAGGATCATACGCATTGATACCGCTTGAAGATTTTCGATATTCGATATTCATTGTCGACTTTGCTGTCGACTATGATCCGTACTCGATAATCTCCTTTAAAAAATTTATTTCGACGTATCATTTCACCTTTTCATAAACACAGTCTTTGTAAAAAAAGATTTTCTTTTGATAACCTTTTACCTCATTACATCGTAAGTGAATTAGTTAAAAATGTTTCTTTTTTTTTTTTAAATAGAACGATTACAATAGGTTAGGTTAGAAAATAAGGTTAACGTGTCACGTGCAAACTTACACGATTATTCTTTGCAAACTGCACTATGGAACAAATACAAACATTCTTCTAACCTAACTTTTTTCTAATTTTTTTATGAAACGACTACATACCTATAAATAATTCTTACATTTCCACATACTAACAACAATTGTTAAAGATTAGAACGACGCGATCGATCGTTCTTGCTGGATATTTTACGCAGATTTATACAAAGAACAGGTAACGTGAAATTGTTACAAAGAGCGACAGGGTCGATGAAATTATGCGGTCGAAAGGAGAACTGTCGACCGGTAATATCGATCGAGCATGCTATTTTTGCATATAGGTGTCCCTTTTCCCGTAATAACGAGAATAATGCCATGAAAAAACATTCGTCTAGACGTTCCTCAAATCGATCTCGAATATCTCTACAAACCTTAAACTCAATTTTGATCGGGTAAAAATATCGTGTAACGGTTTCGATCGATGTAAGAACAGTTAGTCAATGTGTAAAGTAGTAAACGCACACGCATTAGTGCGACAGTTTCGTACCTTGGCACCGTTTCTTCGTGAACACGCACACAAGCAAAGGGACAGACTGTTGCGTGAACGCTCGTTTGCAAAGCTTGATCGAACTCTGGCATTTTCAAGTGTATCAAAGTCGAAGAACGTAATACGTAATAATTTTCATCGAGCAGTCACGTAATATCTTTTATAATATCAATTGTGGAATTCGCGAAGATAACAATTTTTTATCTCTTTATCCTGTTTCTGAAAAGTGCACGAAAGAATAAAATAAACACTTTTTTTACTTCGGTAAAATGTATGTACGACTATGATTGTAAAAAGTTTTGAAACAACTAAAAGGTCTTATTCGCGATGCACGAGTGATATTTCCATCGACAAATAAAAATTGAAGAAGGGAAATAACGTTGCGATTTATAAACGTGTGACAAAAACGTACGGAAGAGAAAGCTTTGAAAAATATATATTGTAACACCGACTTTTTTCAATCACCTTTTAGCTATTTCTTCCATGCGAATTCTGTATTCACCAACTTTTCAAGTCGAGAATGTGCTCTCGATGTGAACGAGCTCGATACACGATGTAAAATACGATTTCGTCGAAATATCTGAAAACTTTCAATCAGCTTCATAACCTTTGTTCTCGATCTAAATACTTCACCCGTATGAAATAAAGAGGCGGCTCTTTAGCATCTGCCGCGCGATTAATAGACGTTTATAAATAATTCTGTCGTTAAAAACTATAAAAAGAAAAATTGTATCTCGCTTTTCTATCGATCTTATGATTAAATTTTTCTTCAATCTAATGTTTCTTTCTAGAATCCAGAAAAAGGTAAGATAAGATTATCTTATCTCGTTGAAAAACTGTGTGAAAAAAACAGTGAGTATTGCAATAAAATAGTAATCGAATCGATTCCACGTTGGATTCGATCCGCAAAGAGGATTAATCGATCTGGAACAATTATTCGATCTACAACGCCAGTAGAAACTGAGTAAAGTAAAGTGTAAAGATTCGATTTCGTAAAGAGCAACGCTGGAAAGAAGATATATCTACTTGCAAAAACCACGATGATCCACGACATTGATCAAACGAAATGCAAAACGTTTCGGAACAATTTCCATGAGAACAATCACACCTGTTCGACTCTAGCTAGCTTTCCCTATCGGTGAGATCTACGATACTTTTCCCTCGCCACCGTCCATTCTCTAACCGCAATAGCCACGCTCTTCTTTTTTTCTTCTTTTCAAGATAGAAATTCCATTCCACAACGACGATAATTTTAGAACATAACAAGTGTCTACCCACAGTGTCAATTGTCCATTGCTCGATTTACCTTCGTTTACCTTTGATTCACCTTTGACCAATTTTACTTTTTCATTCAATTATAATTTCCGCTCTATCGTCGCCGTTAAGTTTAATACCTTTTTTTTTTTTTTTCTATTATACCTGCGAAGTAATTCGTTCTCGATGAAAAATTTAAAAATTTAAACAGATTCTTTGTTACTTTTAAATCGATAGTAGTTCTAATTTCGATCTGAGAAAAATTCTTAATCAACGTGATAAATCGAATAGAAATCAATTTTTCCTATTCTCAATGATTTTTTTTTTTTTTTACGAGTATATATTTTAACAATAAGGATTTTCAAAATTCTTTTAAAATCGATAGTGGAGCGTCGATTATTTTAATTTCTTAATCTGAAAGAATCAAATTCTTAATCATAAATCATTAATTTTTCCTAATCTCAATAGTTTTTTTTTTTTTTTACGAGTATATATTTTAACGATAAGGAAAATACGAAAAATTAGACTTTTTTGTATCGATATTGCCAAATCGTGAATCCCCTCTAACATTCGTTTACAACCATCCGTTTCATTTCGATTCCATTTTTTCATTCCAACAATAATCGATGCATTTTCATTGCCTCGCCGCGTATACGTTGAAACCATACCATTTCACGTTCCATCTTCATTTATACCGACAATTGTATTCTCTTTTCCTTTCGACACCCGTCGTATACGAGCGAAGTCTTGTACGCACGTGCGCACGCGTCGAACTCGCACGAGATACTAAACTCGACCGTTTCAAGCAACGAAGGAATAGAAGGTTAGGACGCTCCGTGTCCCACGATATAAACATCGTAATATAAATACGCCATTCCATAAACGTATAATCGACGCTGTTGAAAACGTGTGATCGTATCGCGAGCCAATTTATTTCTTTGCAATTTTTATACTTATAACATTATCGATTATCGGATCGATGTAAGGGAAATAAAAAAATTGATTATATCGAATCAAGAGACCGCCACCAATGGTACAGCGTAGTGTAGAGATAGTAGTTATATATCACCTGTGTAATAGCATAATCTCGACTAAGTTAATTATAACTCCCTTTGCAGAATATTAATTATTATATGATTCAATTTACCATCGAAGTTATATCAAGCCGCGTAATACGTAAATGTTTAATTACGAGGCATGCTTAAATAATTCGCGCGATCGATCAATTTTACGAGTTTAATTTATTTACTTTCGATCGAATTATTTTGACCCGTCGCCGATAAGTTTGTAGTAGGCTGGCGCGGCAGCTTGAATTACGATATCGAGGTGGACGTGAAA